CTCTGATTCAGTATTGTATAATGCAGACACACTTCTTCCTGTGTTCGGCTTCCTCCTTCTCCTTCTTCCTCTCCTCCATTAGTCTCTTTCTCTTGGCTGCTGCTTCCTGTCTTTTCTTCCGTCTGTCCTCCAGCTCTTCTGGGCTCAGAAGTTTCTTCCTTTTGATGGGCCCTTCTGCCAGGCCTGGGATAAGGACCTTAGGGAGATGAAGACCCACAGTTAGGAAGTCAGGGCCCGCCTGCTCCACTGCAAATGTCTACAGCACTCTGTGCAGGAGCAAGGGAAACACCAACCTCCACACTGCCTGTCACTGTACTTGACTGGTTCACATGACACCTCACAGACACTGTTCCCACTGGCCACTACACTCAGCCAATACACTGCCGAGGCTGGTAGAGGCATTCGCAGTCATTTCGTGAGGAACAAGGTACTTCCAGATAACCTTCTTTCTTGATTGAAGTCATAGCTTGTAGGAAGCCATTTTTAGTTTAAACAACTTTAATCCAACACTTTCTACAAATGCATCACATGACTCCCAGTTTCAGCAGCCTCAGAACTTAAATGACAGCTCTAGAGAACATATGTGAAGTGCCACTTATGACTGCCATCCTCTTAATTATGACAAATGCCAAAGGTAGACATGGTATTTTCTTGTAACAAGGTGATCCCATTAGAGGATGAAGAGCTGTTTTACCTGCATGAAGCCATATAATATACTTACCATCTTAATCTATGTTTGGAGGCAGGGTCTCATGTAGTCCAGGCTAGCCTTGAACTTGCTATGGAGCTAGACTGTTCTTGAACTCCTGATACTCCTGTCTCTAGTTCCCAAGTGCTGGGATTATAGGCGTGTCCCACCATCCTCAATGTCTTCATTTTTTTAAAATAAGTTTTTATTTTATTTATTTATTGTGTGTATGTGTGTGTGTGTGTGTGTGAGAGAGAGAGAGAGAGAGAGAGAGAGAGAGAGAGAGAGAGAGAGAGAGAGAGAGAGAGACAGAGAGAGAGACAGAGAGAGAGACAGAGAGAGAGACTGTCATGGAGTCAGTTCTCCCCTTCTATCATGGGTTCTGGGAATCAAATGATCAGGCTTGCACAGCAAGCCTACTGAACTATCTTGTCAGTCCCTTGATGTCTTTTGAATTTTAGAATTTATGTGCATAAGTGCTTTACTTGTAATATATGTTATGTGTACCATGTGTACAGGACCCTGTGGAGGTCAGAAGAGAGTGTTGGGTAGTACCCCATAACTAGAGTTACACAAGGATATGAGCTGCCATTTGGATCCTCTTGAGAAGAGTAATGGCTCCTAACCAGTGAGCCATCTCTCCAGCCCTCCCCAGCCTGACCAATGCTTTTCAAACATTTCACAGTTTTTATACTAACAGTGCAGTCCACTTATTACATTCAATCAACACACACTTGTTTCTTAACAATCTATCCAAAGAGGACCATCGCTCTTGGTTTTCTTAAGGTAACAACAATTGGGAATAGTTTATGTGTTTTTTTATAGAAATGCAATAACACTTACGCTGCTGCCTTTATTTCGGAGGGACCGGCCCCCATGACTTGTTTTCTCTAGCAGAGCTTTCTGAATATTCACCAGCTGTTCAAAGGACTTCCTGTCTTCCTTACTGGGCTCTTTAGAGTAATCTTTACCTTCAAATAAGTACATATGGTTTTCTAAGAACATAAAACCAAAGAGAGGAGTGTCAGACAGGGAATCGGATTAATGCTACTCCAAGCAGCTACGGAGGTGAACAAGGAAATGACCCACACTCTAAAAATGAGCCAAGACCAGCCTGTTACCACAATGCTTCATTCCTGTCATGAACACCTTTAGGCTCCACACGGGAGTCCTGAACGTCCTCTTTTCACAGGACAGAACATGGTTCATAACTGGGTTGGTCCATCCTTGGTGACCAGTGACTAGAGAATCCTTTCACCCTGCTGAGTCTCCAGCCACTCATTCATCCCACTCTGCTCCTCAGCATGAATCTCATGGACTTGACGATTCCGTAATAAATCCCACTTTCTAATGTCAAGCCACATTTAATATTCAGCCCATTCCCCACTTTCCTATAAAGAAACAAATGTAAAGAAACAAATGGCATGTCGTTTGAGAAAATGAATCATCACAGAAATGATCCCTGTGTTTACAGTACACCTTCCTGCCTCTCCCCTGCTTCCTCTCCTGCTCCCTGGTTGACTGAGCTTTTGCAGGGGGATGGAGGAGAGCTGAAGCTCCCACCCTGCACCTTCCTGCCTCTCCCCTGCTCCCTCCCCTACTCCCTGGTTGACTGAGCTTGCACAGGGACAGAGGAGCTCCTCGGTTCCCACAGCTGAATGATGAAGGAGGATTCTGACTCTGAGGCCAGAGTGCTTTATTCAGTCGATGACTGACTGTACACAGAAAAGTGCAGCACTCATTCTGTGAGATCACTCTGTGATTTTATTTTTAATTATGTGTATACATGTGTGTGTGTGGGTACGGGTGTGTACACTCGAGTACATGCCTGTGGGTGCCAGAGGAGGGTGTCAAATCCCCTAGAGCCGAAGCTCCACACAGCTGTGAGTTACCCAACATGGGTGCTGGGAGCTGTAGAGCACACATTCATAAGGCCGGACAGATAAAGACAAAGGCTCAGTGAGGATGGATAAACAGCCGAGGTCAGGGATCCTGTGAGAATCATCCAGGGTCAGCAACCAGAGTCCAGAATGACCAGGAACTAAAGTGCACTCACTTAATAGCGCACATTACAAGTAATGTATTTTCAGAGCATTGTGAAGTCAGCTATAAGTATGCTTTCCCCGGAGAGTACGAAAGCAAAACATTTTCATTCCCAGGAGATCAATTGCTTCACACTTGTACCAAACTCTAACCAGCTGTAATTCTAATTGGCATTTGCTAATTAAATCAGCAGGGGGCTTTCAATGAGATGCTCTATCAACAAGTGGAAAAGAAAATAAAGATCTGAGAAGTGTCAAAACACCATCAACATATGTAGGTAGCTACATACACCATGAAATTCTAACTTCTAACATAAATGTGCCTTTCAAAAACCTTGGCATCCAAGATAAACCAATGGTGTTTGGGGTTTTCACTGGGGCTGTGCTAATGATTAGTCTTTCATATCCACTGATGTTGTTTTAAATTGTGCACCCTCAGGAGAGGGAACTGAGATTGGTGTGTAAAATAAGATTGTCTTTAATTTAAATAAAAAACTAATAAAAAAGAAAAAAAATTGTGCATTCTCACACTGCAGCCAAGAGGAGGCTGAAACCACACCTTAGGCCAGTGGTTCTCAACCTGGGGTTGAGACCCTTTCCCAGGGTTTGCGTATCAGATAGACTCTGTATCAGACATTTACATTACAGTAGCAAAATCAGCTATGAAGTAGCAATGAAAATAATTTTCTTGCGTGGGGGGGCAGTCACCACAACATGAGGAACTGTATTAAAGGGTTGCAGCATTAGGAAGGTTGAGAACCACAGTCCTAGACCCTCACATATACCCTGCCAGTTCAGCCACCTACTACACAGAGAGCCTAGACCCATTCATCAAAGACAAGTTTCCAAATGTGAATCCTATGGGGGATTTGTTTTTTTCCTAGCAGTTGGCCTGTCTAAAACTATGTAATTTTTTTAGCAGTCACATTGACTTAGAAGTGTAATGATCTTTCTGAAAACACTGCAATTTTAGTTTGTTCTGGCAAATGTTGAAAAAATAAGCTGAAATTAATCTGAGTGGAGAAATGGATGTAAGCTTTGGTATTTAAGGCAATCGAATATAACTTAAAAATATGACCGCATGCATCTGTTTCCCGCCTCACCTGAAACCTCTAAGTGACAGTAACGGGATTTTAAGAAAGACATATGAGGCAACCGTAAGTGGGGAAGTTCAGCACTCTCCTGAGAATGTAAAGTGGCTGGAGGGAACAACAGATAAACAGGAGCTGTGCGTGGAAGTGGAGCCCGGATGCTCAGCTATGTTAGCAGGAGAACAGACCCTTTCACAGGTGGGGGCCTAAGAGAATATCTGCACACCCAAAACACTGGAAACACAACCTCTGATATGCCCTGCTTTTCAGCTTAAACCAACGAGTTTATTTTAACCCTCACTCTTCCATGGACGACATTGGAGAATTTGTCTCTGACACAGGCCAACTAAAGACTTCACACATGAGTATGTACATAGGAAGGGAAGGTTCCCTCAGGGCTAGATCTGGCTCACCAGGCATAAGGCTGGAGTGAGGCCCCAGGAGCACCTGTCTGCTCATAGCAGAGCTGCCAGTCTCAGCTTCGGGACACCAGTTATTTCTAGAAAACTACCAATAAGAACGAAAGGCTCCAAGACAAAATTAAGACCAAAAAAAAAAAAAAAAAAAAAAAAAAAAAAAAAAAAAAAAAAAAAAAAAAAAAAAAAAAGGCAAAAGAAAAGCAACTGGAAGAAACAGAAGCAATGCAGGTGGTAGGGAATCTTAAAAAAATATAACAAATGTCCTTCCTGTAATGTACATTCTAAACCTATACCAAATGTTCCCAAAGAAGAATCAGGATAATATTATGCCCTTGAAATGACAGCAGAATACAATTAAAACGAGAACAGAAAGCATATGAAGAATACGAATGAGATGGTATCATGCGGAATCTAAAGACAAAAACGTGACAAATTTCAAAGAGGAGTGTCACCTGAAATGACCAGCTGCCTGAATTCCAATTTCTCCACATATCCCATAAAAATCTCACCAGTCCATGCCTACCACAGAATGAGGAGTCAAGAAATACTATAAACTCCCATTTGCAAGCGAACAGAGAAACAGGAATCCAAGCCAGCGATGTCAGCTCCAGTGCCCACACAACTGGAATACCAGACATACACTGAATGGACAAACAATCTGCAGGACTCTAGCAGTGTCTGACAGAGGTGGTGAGGACGGCTAAAACCTGGGGCCACCAGAGCAATGACTACTAAGGAAGAGAAAAAGGGACTAGAAAGTAAATGTAGCCAGACAGTTTGGAAGGCACCATGCCCTGTGTGCTTGTGCCTTGTGCCAGGGATGTGGGGGTAACTCTCCCCTTCTCACCATCTTACAGCAAAGGGAAAGAGAAAGCAAGCAATGGGAAACCAGCATCTGGAGAAACAAAGGGGGATGACAAAAGCTGGTGCCGTGCCCAGCCTACCTGGCACCCAAAAGAGGAGGCACCATTTTATAAGGGCCCAGTTCTCAGGCAGAAGGCAGGTGGCAGGTGGGCTTGAAACACCAACTTCCTGTCGCTGCTGGTACAGGAAAACAGTCATTGACAACTGTCATGAGACACCTGAGAGCATTCTTTACACAAAAACACTCCAGGGGGCCAGGGATGTAGCTCAGTTAGCAGAGAACTTGCCCAGCATTCACAAAGCCCTGCAGCCAATCCCCAACACCCCACAAACCAGCATGGTGCCACATGCCTACAATCTCAGCATTGGCTATGGATTCGGAGGATCAGAATTCCAAAGCTAATGATCCTTAGCTTCTGCAGTGAATCTGAAGCCAGCCTGGGACACACAAGACCACAAACAAACCAACATTTCACATTCAAAAATTCAGAACACTGACAAAATTCAAGGGACTGGGGGGGACAAAGGAGAAATCCATCCACAAACATGTCAAGTGCACAACACAACCCGCACTGTTTATCAGCAGACGTTAGATTTAAAAGGTAAAACTGTTCAGGGTTGGCCGATGGCTCAACACTTCAGAACTCCTGCTGTTCTTGAGTCCCCAACATCCCCCAGGGCAGCTAACAACTGTCCATAACTGGGGTTCCAGGGGATCGTGGAACCTCCTCAGGCACTGCATGCATGTGATGCACACAAGACAGTCACACACATAAAATCAAAATGAATACATCTTATAAAACCCAAAGGTAAGCCATTCACTCTGGGCTGACAGACTAAAGGCTGCCTCTTTGTGATGCAGTCACAGGAAGGGGAAAGACTTTATCCCAAAGACAGAAACAGAGGAGCAGCTTTGGAAATTCACTAAGTGAAAGCCTCCCAGAAAAGAGCAGAGAGAAGAAAGCAAAGCCAGTAGAGTCTCAGTGGGCAGTTCCCTGGCAGGTGAGGGCGGGAGCGAGGGAAGGAGGGAAGGGCAGAAGCCTCTTCATGAAGGTAAGCTAGCAGACCCTGGGGACAAGCTCAGTCCTCAGAAGCCTCAAATCCAACTGCAGGCTTTGGAGAGACTGTAATTCCTCCAGCCCACAGGGCAGCCTGGAAGAAAAAGTCCATTCTGTCACACTGTAGGACCTGGAAGGCAGCAGCATGAATGCCATCTTAAGACTCTCCTGACTAAAAAAAAAAAAAAAAAAAGAGGGTGGTGATGGGGGAGGTCCTTCTGTGTATATGTTTATCTAATTGATTGATAAATAAAGCACTGTTGGGCAATAGGAAAGCAAGATAGGTGGGGCTAGGAATTGAGGAGGATTCTGGGAAATGTAGTAGAGGGTTACCATGTGATTGCTGGCAAAAGAGGATGCTTGCCACCGGTGTCCTCGGTAAGATAAGTCTTTATAAAATATATAGATTGAGCCGGGCATTGGTGGCGCATGCCTTGAATCCCAGCAATCGGGAGGCAGAGGCAGGTGGATATCCGTAAGTCTTTATAAAATATATAGATTAATGGTTATGGTTGATACTTAGGATAGAGCTAGCAAATAAGAAATCCTAGTCATTGGCCAGCAGCGTACCTAATATAAATTTCTGTGTGTTCTTTTGGGGGTCCTAATGTGGCAGGGGGGGGGGGGCTGGGGCGGCTGGTGGAAAGAGTTATCCTTACAGGGTAGGGACTAATCCACAGGTCTGAGATCAAGGAACGTGTACAGGTGGGGAGTTTCAATGTGGTCTGCCACAACCCAGATGAGGGGCATTTGTGGCAAGCAGGAGGGCCTGACACTGACAGCAGAAGCACGGGGATGGCAGAAGGCAGGGTCAGCCTGGGAAGTGCACAGGGAGAGAAGCCCTGCCCTTGGTGGTCCAGGACAGATTTCATCAACTGAGACTACCTTAGGGTTCTGACAGTCTGAGGCCAGCTGACAGATCAAACTCTGAAGCCACCTATTAGTCATCTACTGCTACATGGCCCGAGAGATCTGAACACAGAAACAAGAGACATGAACAAGCAAGGCAACACACCTCTCCTAACAATCACAACTCAACTACCGAACTGAGGAAAACGCCAGACAAAGACTGCAAAGGTTTTCTGGTAAAAATGATCAGTCACCCGAAAGAGGCTACAACCAAACAGACGAATTCAGGACCTGCAGTAAAGTCAGCAACACAGAGGGAAAGTTTCAAAATGGATGAGAAAAGCTGCAATATGAATTTTTTAAAAATTGAGGGAAGAGATTTTGAAAAAGAAAACAGAAAACAGACATTTGAAAATGAAAATCTCAATGTACAAAATAAAAACACAACACAAAGTATCACCAAAACATTCAAACAGACAGAAAGACTATCAAAAATGGCAGACAAGGTCAACAAACACTAAATGCTGGGGGCTGGAGACAGCTCAGGGGTTAAAAGCAGTTGCTATTCTTCCTGCAGACCCAGAACTAATCCCCAGCACCCACATGGCAGCTCACAACCATGTGTAACTCCAGCCCCAGGGGACCCGTTGTCCTTTTCTGACCTCCACAAGCATTCGGTACAGACACCCAAACACATGAAACAAAAATAAATAAATCCTAAAATAGAAACATTACGTTCAAGCATGGGGATCTGACTGAGTTGGGATCCCAGCATTTACAAACAAGCTGGGTAAGGTCCCCTGCATGCCTGTAACCCTGGCCCTGTGGGGACAAAGAGAGGAGAATTGCTGGGCCTTGCTGGCTGCCAGCCTAGACAAAAAAGTGAGTTCTTTATTCAGGGAGAGACCCTGCCTTGGAATAAGGCTGAGGGTGAAACAGGAAGACAATACCTTCTTCTATCTTCCCACACATCCACATATGCACACACACACAGAGAGAGACAGGGGGGGGGAGGGAGAGGGAGGGGGGAATGGAGGACATTTCAAGGCAAGCACAACTAAGGCAGTTCATGACCACCAATCCGGCACTGTAGAAGACAGAGGAACACTTTACACAGAAGAGGAAGGAAGAAAGGCTCAGTCATGAAAGCACAGAATGAGAAGGCTGCCCGAACAAAGGAGAGCTAAGAAGGAATCCTTCATGTCCACCTCAGTAAACAAGTCAACTCCCAGTACTAACAGAAGACAGCAAAGAACAAATAGTAATTAAAACAGCCAACAAAATTACAGGAGTAGTATATATCTCTCAATAACAACCTTAAATGCAAATGAACTCAACTCACCAAATGAATCACAGATTGGCTAGCTGGTAAATAAAATTAAAATTAAAAAGATTAACTATTAATTGTCTCCAGTAAATATACCAGGCTGGTAGATACCCACAAACTGAGAGTCAAAGCAAGCTGGCATGGGCATTTTCATATCTGATTAAAGAAGACTTCAAATCAAAATTAGTCAGGAAGGAAGGCCATTATATATTACTAAAGAGAACAGTTCACCGAAAAGATAAAGCAATTTAAATAGACACCAATGTTGGGGCTCCCAACTTAGTAAAACAAACACAACCAGACACAGAAGATCAGAAAGGACCTGATAGGATAATAGTGGAGACTTTGGTGGAGACTCTCATCTCTAGAGAGGTCATCCAAACTAAAAAAACAACAGACACCTCAGAGTTAAACCATCCCACAGAACAAATGGAATACTCCATCCAACAGAACAGGATACACATAGGGCAGTCGCTAAAATAGACACATCCTAGGCCACAAATCATATGTTTGTTTTTGTTTTTTGAGACAAGGTCTTGCTATGGAACCCAGTCTGACCTCTTACTCAGAAATCCACACACTTCTACCTCCCAAGCTCTGGGATTAAAGATGTGCACCACCACACCCAGCTCGAAAATCAAATCTTCCCAAATGTAAAAGAATAAAAATACTGTCCTGTGTCTTATCAGATCATAGTACAGTACGAGGAAACTAGAACTCAATAAACCACACAAATACATGGGAACCAGGAAAACAAATCCAACAAAGGAGGTGAAAGACTTCCATAATGAAAACATAGACACTAAAGAATGAAACCCGAGAAACACTAGACCTCTTTTGCTTGTGAATTGGTGGAACTAATATTGTAAAAATAGCTACATTAGCAATCAACATGTTCACTGCAATCCCCGTCAAAATTCCAATGACATTTTGAATTCATGTGGAAGCATACAGACCCCAAATAGCTAACATAATCCTTAGCAGAAAGAATGCTAAAGGTGTCAAAATACTCAAATTCAAATCATACTGCAGAGCTATAGTTACAAAACAGCATGGCACAGGCGTGGACCCACAGAACACAAAAGAAGCTTTACAGTTACAGGTACCTCATTCTCACAAAGGTCAAGAACACACTTTGGAGAAAACAAACAAACAAACAAACAAACCAGTCTTTTTAACAAAGAGTGCTGGGAAAACCAGATGTAGCAGAATCAAACAGAATCCACATCTCTCACCCTGCACAAACATCAACTCAAAATGGATCACAGAGGAAGTAAGATCTGGTTCCCAACTCACTTCCTTCCTCTTGTTCTCTGTTTCCCCCTTCTGCTGCTGCAGGCAAAGCATCAGGGACCCACTGGCCATCTTTGGTTTCTCCCAGGATGGATCCCAGGTCTACTTCATCCACGGTGCTCCCCTCAGAGGACAGCAGTTTATCCAAGCCGAATTTAAGTATCTCGCTTAACTTGAATGGAAAACAAAACAAAACAAAGACAAAAAAAGGACATCCAGTCAGTTCTGATGAAAAAAGCCATGGGGATGTGGGTGACTTGCTAATGGCTAAGACATTCCTTCTTTGATAGACAGCCAGCACTTGCTGTCCATCACAGCTGACACCAAGCAGGCTTTTAACAGCTGGATGATGGTTAAGCAGATGGTGATAAAGGATTATCTGAGTTATTGACTCTGACAGTATCTGTAACAATACAATATGGATAAGTGTCTGATGTTTTATTTGGATTTTTTTAAAGAGTAACGGTAATTCCAAACATTTCCCATAGCACTTCTCACCAACTCATCATCCCAAGCTTTTCCAGGAACTGCAAGAGAAGTCAGACTCAGCTGTTTTCCAGCTCTCTCACTGCTAAAACCTCTTGATCTCATCATTGGTGGACTTCTCTGGCAATCTGCTTTCTTATCACAGTGCTCTGTGGACACCACTGTGGCAAAGACCAGCACCAACAGCTGGTCTCTCCCTGAGCTCCTCATCCACTCATAGTGACAAGAGGAAACACAGAAGTCTCAGGAGGCACTTCCTAGCGCTCACCTGCAGCTCCCAACTCTGCTCATTCTCAAACAACAGCTCAGGTTCACTTGCATCTTGCCCTTTTGGACTGGACTGTTTACCTCTAGACATCTCCTCTGTAACTTGGAAACCTTTAAGGTAAGCTGTAATAGCATGCAAACTCCTTACATAGTTCGTTGAGGTACCAACATCTGGAACGTTTATGTTTAACATTGTTAGATATAACCAATGCAACTGGCTGTGCATTTGATACCAAAACCCAAAGAAAGCCAACTGTTTGTGATAAGGATTCGTTCATGTTGGAAAACAGCATCCAGACACATGCCTCCAGGCATAGCGGAAGAGCTCACACTGATTAGGTTAAACTGAGATGGGAAACCAATTCCTGGGTGTGGCTCCTGGATTGTATAAGAAGAGGGTGAGCTAGGCCCAAGCGTTCATGGCTCCCTGCCTTTTTATTGTGGATAGGATGTTACCAGCTGCTTCAGGCTCCTGCCGATTTAACTTCCTGGCCATGCTGGGTTTGAACTGTGAGCTAAAATATACTTGTTCTCAAGTTGATTTCTGTCCGGTGTTTTGTCAAAGCAAGAAGAAAAGAAACCAAGACAGAGGTACAGAATTGCCTGCTATGATTAACTATTTGTTTGTTTTCTAATTCTCTAATTTTCTAAGCATCCTCAGACATAACTAGTGGAAGCCTCACTTTAAGCAAAGAAAGAGCCCTGAGGTAATGTATGGAGTGATGATGAGGCTTGGATTTAAATCCAACATAGACAGCCCAGCAACTGTCTCTGTCTCTCTGTCTCTGTCTCTGTCTCTGTCTCTCTCATTTACTCTATATCTATCGTACCTATTTTTGACTCCAGCAGCCCCCTGTACATGGCAGGCACCAAGGCAGGAACAAATCACGATGAGCCTATGGGTAAGAACAGATTCTAACCTGGAAGTCGGCCTCAGCGGACGGTCTCTGGGCTCCTAGGGTGAAATGGCCCCCCTCCATGACCATGTTGGTAAGCTGCAATTTGGAGGCTGCCTTCCTGTACACGATTTCTTCCACAGTATCTCTGCCAATCAGCCGAATGACTTTAACAGACCTGTGTTCAAGTCAAATGACAGCAGTGTGGATGAGTGCATATGATGCCAGGAAAGGACACACCTGGAAGGAAGCCCGAGTACTTGCAAGAGAGATCTGGCCTTTGGTTATCTCTGATCCTCCCAAATAGTGAATGTAAGGATGGTGAGATGACCTAGACTGTGATGTGTCACCTGTAGCTAAGAAAAAACCTTAGGCACATGTCATTCTGAGGCTCAAGGCGAGCACAGGACTTTTGGCAAATTTCTATAACATCGGGTGGCCACTTGTTAGGGGCAGGGGCAACTCATACATTATATTCTGATCACTGTTTCTTCTCCCAGATCCTCCCCACCCCTCCAACTCCAGGCCTTCTTTGTCTCTTAATAAAATAAACAGGAAAAAATTAAAAACAACTAGAACAAACACAAGAAACACGTACCACACACACAAATAAGACCCATAAAAATAAACAGCATTGGAAACATAATATACAAGCAAAAGACCAATAAGATAAAAAATATCCAAACAAAGCAATATCAGACAAATCTACAAAAACACCACTGAGTTCATTTCATGTTGGCCTTCGCTGATTATTCTGTTCATTTGTTTTTAGTGAGGTGGGTTGTTCTAGCTCACTGAATTAAATAGCTTCTAAAGATTCCGTCTAATCCTTTCATAATTTGGCTTTTTGCTCAACAAAATGAGTCTGGACTATACTGCCGCACAGTCAATGATGCTGCAGGAGCCGGCAGCAAAGCTTGGTTCACACTGGGGGTCTCTCGATTCCTGTTTGGTGCTGTCACCACGACTATGTTCTGCTCGCCTTCCCAACCCAGAAGTGTCCAGCAAACCAGGGAAGTGGGAAATCCATGATGCTGAACTCACTCACTTGTTCTGGCCAATTCGGTGAGCTCTGGCAGCCGCCTGCAAGTCGTTCTGAGGATTAAAGTCACTGTCGACAAAGATAACGGTATCTGCTGCCGTTAAGTTCATGCCCACTCCACCTGCAAGTAAGGCAAGAGAGAGTCATTACAGGCACACACAGGGATCTGAAGAATAAAGACGGTCCAGACAAGGCTACACTAGTGTACTGAAGTCAGTCAGTCAGTCAGACACTCATCCGAAACTCTAGAGCCTGGCGTGGTCACACTTGCTCCCTTAACTTCCTGCTGCCTGACTTGGGAGAATGTGATCATTGCACAGAACGGGGAAGTAGGGACAAGCGGCAAAGGGAGATGCTAACCTTAGGAGCGCAAAGCAGTTTCCATTCTCCCTAATCTAAAACACTTGGCTGCATTTTGCCTAGGACCGTCTACAAGGAAAGGGGAGCGTGCTCCTTTGGGAAAAAAAAAGAGCTGTGAGCGTGGCACGCTGTGCGGGCGTTCTAAGGGAAGAGCCCTCGCCCACACCTGCAGGCCAGGCTAGGTAGCAAGATCTCGGACATGCTGTTGAAGGAGGGCTGCTGCTGCTGGCAGGATGAACTGCCTCCCCTGCTCTGCAGAAAACCTAAGCCACGCCGACCAGACCCAGTGTGACAAAACCAAAGCCAACACCTCCCGCAGCAATTTTCTGGGTCTTCTCTGGTGCTCCTGGAAAATGGGTGAGGCGGGACCATCAGTTTTGGGAATTAAAAGAACCATGAAGGCAAATTACATCCTTCTCTTTGATTAATGTGAAAACTAATGCAAAACAGACTGGCTCTTGCCAGAGTCATTAGAGATCACTGCTGAAACAAGGGAGCCTGACGGGGCCTGTTCCAAGAGCTTGAATTAAAGGCTACTTCTCAGAAGGACTACTAATGCCAGACCGGGTCTCAAGACACACCAGGCAGAGTTTAAGCTTTCATATAAAATTAAATCTGGAATAAAGAACTGATAAGGACTGACTTCTGATCAGTGCTGGGTTACCTCACACGACCAGTACATTTATGCTTTCTCTGCCAGTTGTCAAGCAAGGGTCTGAGCATTTTATACAGACCAATACCTTGCACAACAACCTTATGGGCTCTGACTATCCATCATCACCCTTTTTGCTGATACCGAGATGGAAACACAGAGAAGTCAAACACTTATTTGAATTTGCACAGTTAGAAGGCAAAGGAGCTAAGATTCAGTCTCCCATGGATATTTCTTGAACCTGTTGGCTACATTTTCTGGGCTTTTGTGGAGGTTGCTATTGTAGTCCTTCCTTCCTTCCTTCCTTCCTTCCTTCCTTCCTTCCTTCCTTCCTGAGAAGGAGTCCTATTGTGTTGCCCAGGATGGCCTCCAACTTCTGGGCTGGAGCAGTCCTTTTTACTGAACTTGCTAAGCAGCCAGTCCCTCAAGCTGCTCCATCACACCAGCTCCAGAGCCTGTTTTGCTCACTACACTCTAACACTTGCCAGGTACCTGTCTCATTTAAAAATGTGCAGCATCATCCCACATGGTCTGGCGGCTGGGATCCACACCATGCTGAAATGTATGCCATCTTTCCTAGGCTGTGGCCATCAGAATGCAGCTCTTCCCAAAGGGTGACTCCCCCTTTCTTTGCAGTGCCAGGGAAGGGGCCCAGGACCCTGTACGTGTTACACAAGCATGTGCGTAAGCTACACTCCAGGCCATGAGTGGCACCTTTTTAACAATCTCTGCTCATATTCATGAGCTACCATTGCCCCCTGGTGGCAACATGATTAATTCACAGAAACACTTGAGCACAGGGTGGACTGCTAAACACATGGGAATGCTGCAGACTTGCAGCAGAAACATAACGGCGAGCCTGATGGGATGCTCTGGGAAGGGCAATGCCCAGAGCTTCTGCTCCTCCAGGATCTGCTCGGGGTCCTCTGGGGAAATTAACTAAAATGTGGACGGCTCATCCTTCTTAACTCTAGACATCTCAAACAAAAGGCTGTCCTCTGAGTAGGGAAATGATGAAGTCTTTGAAATATCACAAACAGAACTGACTGTTTTCCTTCTGACGGTACATGTGACCTGACTCTTCACATCCCTTCTGAGACTACTTTGTGAAGGGCTGAGAGAGGGAGGCTGAGAGAATCTGATTACATCATGCATTATTATCTTTATTAGACTGATAAGGCAAAGGCTGGCAGAATAATCTCCTTACCAAGGATTGTATCTAGTGCTCTTTTATATGGCCTTATCGTACTGGTCACTCACTGAATGCTTCCTATTAAGACTGAAGCTTTTTCACTGAGATGCTGATCTCTCTTTAATAGAGGAACACACATCTCTGTATTCACCATGTTTATTCCAGGAGGGTTCCAATTTATAAGAAATAAGGTAACGGGCTGGAGAGGTAGGGAAGAGCATGCACTGCTTTGGCAGAGAATGTGGGTTTGGTTCCCAAAACCCGTATCTGGTGGCTCACAATGACCTGTAACTCCAGTTCCTGGGGATCTAATACCCTCTTCTTGCTTCAAAGGGCACCTGCATGTATATGATACACATAGAAACAAGCAGGCATATGTGCATAAAGAAAAAGTTTTCTTAAAGAAATAAAATAATGAAACTAAGCCTATGAGTTAAAAAGTGATTTAAGGATGATCCAAAATCTTAAAACAAAAAAAAAGTCATTTCAAAAAGCTAATGTCAGAATGTTTAATAATACATTAAAAAAAATCACCCTTACTGATAACATACCATAAATGTGATGGTAATATTTATGACTGAAGTTATACAGACATTGTCATAACTCTTAGTGGCTAGCAATTTTACTATAATCATATTTTAAAGCAGTTAAATGTTCACTAAGCATTTGCTGTGTTAGAGAAGTATTTCTGGAGGAAGGCAACTAGCAAAGAGGTTATCTCATCCCTCAAATCACAATTGGGAAGAAGATCTGCACCCCCTGAATATAAATAAAACTTTCCACAGGAATCTTCAGGACACTCCCAGGCCAGGAGTCAACACAAGTTAGGATAGTTTCTAAGAACGCAAGACTTCAGCTGAAGGCCCTTGGGTAGAAAACATGAAAAAGTCACCATGCTTTTAGAAGTCCAGCCTCTCATTCCACCATGGCAATGGCCTCAATTCTCTCCCCCTTAACTCTTTGGCAATAACCTCGCCTTTCAGAGAATTGGGCAAAATGCACTAATGGTTAGGATGTAAAAAGTTCTCTCCCTGGGGCTGGAGAGATGGCTCAGGGGTAAAGAGCACCGACTGCTCTTCCAGAGGTCCTGAGTTCAGTTCTCAGCAACCACATGGGTGGCTCACAACCATCCATTATGAGATCTGGTGCCCTCTTTTGATGTGCAGATATACATGGAAGCAGAATGGCAGAATGTTGTATACATAGTAAATAAATAAAATCTTAAAAAAAAAAAGTTCTCTCCCTGCTTTCAAGACCCGTGTGGCCTACCTGCCCGGGTGCTCAGGAGAAAAACAAAAATGGGCTCTTTTCCAAAGTTCTTAATGGCCAGGTGTCTCTCTTCTCCTCTCACGGAGCCATCCACACGCTCATAGCTATAGCCTTGACAAAGGAGAAAATGGGCATGTTAATTCTTTTTCAAGGATTCTGGGAAACAAAAAAAAAATTAGTCAATCCAAAAGCAGACATCAGTTTTACCCTTTTCAGATACAGGAAAAAGCCCTACTTCTAATAATTCGTATGAGGGGGAGAGTCTAAATTTAGGGGGGCAATGCTATCATTCTACAAAGGAACATATCATAACACATTCATACTCCTAAATATGGTTGAAGTAAGGTTAGTATGTAGTTTGGACCATTCCCAAGCAATCCCGAAAGCTCGCTCTATGGCAGAGTGCATTTGGTGAGACGCAAGCCGAAGTATGGGAGTGTGAGGGACTGTGTCTGGTGGCCCTGGTCTTACTTCTCTGAAGCTGGAGGGTCTCCCTCCTGACATCATGCTCCAGACCCACAGAGCTCTAACCTGAGCTCTGCTTGTACTCTGGGGTCCCTGCAAGGCTGACCCGGCCTAGGTCTCCCGCAGTATTTGAGGAGTGTCAAGAATAGCTCTGAGGCCTAGTCTGGATTAATTTAAACTAAAAGGTCTGAAGCTCACGCTTCTTCACCAGGGGGCTTGAGAACGTACAGTTTTTCCCAATCATCTCACATCCGTTTATGACATATTAAACAGTACTCAGGTAACAGCCACACTCCTCACTGTTAAATAGAGACAGCTGGCCCCGCTCTCCCGGTTTGGGCTGTGGGATATCTGCAGTTGCTCCTGTCTAGTGAGTCTGAGTAAGTGCTCAGCTGCTGAGATGGATGTTTTATAACTCCAATGCTCTTGTCACTGAAACTCGTCTATTATACAAATAAGGTTTCCACAGCATTTGCCCCAGTGCCCATAGCCAGAAACCACATAACTGTGGCGATTTATAAATAACCGGAAATAAACTGCTGCTTATTTCTGCCCTTCCGCCTCTCCATGCCACCAAGTTTTACCCCACACACCACTCTGCACATGCCTCATCTTCTGACTCTGAGTAACGTTGTGGTGTAATTTCCCCTGGAATCCCCACACCTCCGGTGACTCACTGTTACATATATTAGACATGTGACCATTACATATGTTACACATGTGATCGTTACAGCTACAAATGATTCAGTTGACGAAATGCACAAGGGGAGTCACCTCTGTAATCCATATAGTCTTGCAGAATATCCAACATGTGGGTCATTTGGGAGAAAAGTAAGACCCGATGGCCCCTAGTAAGAAAAAAAGGAGAAAGTGAAATTCTAGTAATAGTAACATATATTTCCCTCAAACAAAACTCTCTGGCAAAAAAGAATCCAAGTTTATAAATAAACGAAATGTTAAAGTATAAATGCAATTTGAAGACTTCCTTGGAAACTCTTAAGTACTTTATGTAAAGAATATAAGTAAACCTGGCACTGTCCCCTTCAAAGTGGCAGTTCTTGAACTATAGTGGAGAGATTCCCAGGGGCATTTGTGAGTACACCGCAGGCTACAGGAAGCCCCAGAAGAGCCAGAGGACTCACGGGAATGTCAACTCAGTTAACTGAAAGAAATACACGCTTTCATGTGAAAAGCAAGATAAATACACACAAATAAGGGGTAAAACGCAAAATTCAGATATACATGCACGTGCACATGCACCCACACACACACACACACACACACACACACACACTTACACACACACATACACACACACACACACACCTCAAGACTTTGAAAGCCATGGTCAGTCACCTACCACTAATCTTACTTGGGAAGAAAGTCAATATAGTTTATAGCTATTTCACTGAAAATTCAGAGAAGTAATACTTTAGAAAGGGACAAATGGCATCTCATCTCCCAAAATACACGATGAAAAAAAGAAAAAGAACAACATAAAATAATGGATTAAGAATGAAGGAGAGCTGGGCGGTGGTGGTGCCGCACGCCTTTAATCCCAGCACTTGGGAGGCAGAGGCAGGCGGATCTTTGTGAGTTCAAGACCAGCCTGGTCTACAAGTGCTAGTTCCAGGACAGGGTCCAAAGCTACACAGAGAAACCTTGTCTCGAAAAATGAAAACAAAAAAAGAAAAAGAGAGAAAAAAAGAAAAAAGGAAAAAAAAGAATGAAGGAAGGGTTGGAGAGATGGTTTGGCGATTCAGAGCACGGGCTACTCTATTCTCGAGGACCTGGTTTCAATTTTCAGAACCCAAATGGCAGCTAATAGTAACTCCAATTCCAGGGGACCTGATGCCCTCTTCTGGCCTCTGTAGGTACTGCACATACACAGTATATTGACATTGACATACATGTAGACAAAACCTCAACACATAAAAGAAACAAAGAAACAAAAAATAAATAAATAAAATGAAGTTGGGGTGAGGGGGTATGTCTCAGTCAGTAAAGTACTTGCTTGCCTCACAAGTATGAGAACCTGAGCTTGATCTCTAGAACCCATATTTTAAAATGTTAGGCATGATAGCATGCACAGCATCTCAGCTCTAGGGACGCAGAGACAGAAGCATCCCCAGACTTGCTGGACAGCTAGTCCAGCCTAATTGGTGAGCTCCAAGCCAGTGAGAGACCTTGCTTCAAAGGATGTGGACACTGTTTATGATGACACCTGAAGTTATCTTCTGGCATCCGTGTGTGTGTGGGGGAGGGGGGCAGATTGTGGTCCTAATCTCACCTCTGCCATGTGCTGGCCAGGTGACCTTGGACATACAAGCTTTCTGGGTCTGTGAAATGGAAAAATCATGCATAAAGAGTTCACAAATTCCTCAGGTATGACAAATAGATATACTTTATTGGCTCTAATCAATAAAATAGTGCATGGCATATAATAATTTAACATGCAACTTTTCTTAATGGGCAATTTTGCTAAATCTCAGGCCATACCTGGCATAGTTCCTTCAAAGGGATAAATTGAAATTCTCAAGAATCTGGGGTTTGTCTAGATCCCCTCTTCCTGATGGAGAACAAGCTAAACCATCAGCCAAACACTACTACACAGGATCTTCTGATGCCCAATTCATGGCTCTGGGAAAATGGCCCCCAAGATCCCCTTGAGTTTAGACCAAGATCCTTAGGTTAACAAGAAGGAATATTAACTGAACCCTATGACAGACACTGATTCAGCACCAGGTGCCAGCAGACAATCAAGGAGGAAAAGATCAGCGCCTTCTCTGTCCTGGAGGAACAGAAAGGCCGAGTGGTAAGGTGGCCAAACACTCATGAGTCAGTTTATATGACAGGAGGACACTGTCGATACTGAATTAGGAATCCTAACAAAAGGGTGACCATAGAGGGGTGTTGGGCGAGGGGGGTGGCAGGGCTAGGAGCGTTACTGCATAGAGGGTGGAACCTTAATCAAGGCTCTGAAGAAAGAAAACTTGGATCCTTCTAGAGAAATCTGCCAACTCTTCACCACTTAGTTTTATTAGCTCAGAGTAGTAAATGTAAACCCATTGCCTACCCCGAATACAGAAATGCCAGCAGCCTGTCCAGCAGGTGAAGTTTCCCACTGGCCTCAATCAGGTGCTCTCCAATTTCAAAGGGCTCTGGTTCCACACCTAGGAAAGAAAGAACCCATTTCCACGAGTGTGGCCCCCTGGGAGCAGATTCCCTGAGGAGAAACGCTGACTGCTGGCCACCAGTAAAGGAACCCCACACTCCTTACACTGGATAACATGTCAAGGATCATCTGTGGTTGAGGAATTTTATGATTATATGTTTGTATGATGACCCCAATACTTCTTGATACCAATCACAAAGGCAAGCACACCCAAAAGAAAAAACAACAACAACAGAAAACCTCAAAGCTTACCTAAGGAGCAAACCCACCTTGATGTTAACAGTCAAGAAAACCCAAACTGGAGTCTGGGCTGTCTAAGGAAGTGGATCAACCAACAAATTCAGAGAGGGCATGCACATTCTAAGGTATGGGCTAGCAGTCAGAATTGCTGGCAGAGATTCCTTTAAAACCTACGTGTTCCATCCATTAAGACAAAGCCCTAATGTGCACTGAATGAAGATCCTGTGAATTGCTTAAACAGGTCCAGCATTTGGAAGCCCACCTGACTGTAACAACCTCGGCACTAGGCCTTCCTATGATGGAGACTCCATGTCCACAAGTCCTCAAATTGTCCCTGGCTTCCAATCACAGCATGTTTTTAAATTCCCAGCTTAGCTGGGTGTGCTGGAGAAGGCACTTACAACTCAGAGGCAAGTGGATCAAATCTCTACAAGTTTGAGGCCAGTCAGGTCTATACAGCAAGCTCCAGGCCATCCTCAGTGGTGGAGATGAGCTGTCTGAGTGGGCTCAGGACAGGGAGAAATGAAATGTGAGGACATACTCAGACGAACCCCGATGATGGCTTTGTAGAGCCACTGGTTTTGATTCTCCAAAACCACCAATACTGTGAGAAAAACAAGTCACCTTCTGGGAGGATAAAGAGATGGGACAAGCACAACAGAAGATCTGTGACTGGATCTTGAAGTAAAAAAGAAAAAGGAAAACATAACCTCAAAAGATATTAAGAAGAAACTAAATCTGAGTCGATTCGTCAGATAACACTGACAGGACAAACTGAGCATGACATGGTGAAGGGCCCAGACGGCCCACGAAATGGAGATGTGGAGGGACGATGCAGCGCCCCCTCACCATCGAACAGATACGGGTGGTCCACACACTTCCGAAGCTGCGTTAGGACGTTCTGCAGTTTGACCTTCTTTGCCATCTCATTCTCAAACGCATCTGAAACCGTAAAAACAACGGGAAGAAAGCTGGATTACCACAGCAACTCCTGCCCTGCAAGGTTCCACAGCCTCAGATGTTTAATCATGCGTACCTCAAACCTGTGTAAATGCCCAGACTGGACTGGACACCTGTGTGAAATTTGCTTAGCTGTTTCTTTCTTTTAACTAAACTGTAAGTTGAATGTAGCCAACCTGGTTACCCTTTTTTCAGACATCTAAGGGACAACTACAAAATGGAAATCAAAAGATCACGCTGTTGCCTCACCCTTCTCATTCCCAATTCCTCCCAGTGAATCTGAGTCAACCACACTTTGCAGCTCATTAAGTGTCCAATGGGCTGGAAAGAAGGAGGGCAGGACCAGGGGCTCGGAAGTGCTTGCTTCAAGGCAGTGAGGGGAATGGGGCCAGAGGGAAAGGGAAACTGTCTGGGAGCCCCTGCCATACTCACTATAGCTGACCCGAGATTCACTCAGAATCTAGGACTCCACCCCCTCCTTGCTGTACAGAGGGAGGGAGCCTGATTATTGAGCACTTCCTAGAAAAACCACACCCATCCAGCTTCTCAACAGACACATGCCCATACCCAGGTCTTTCATCAAGATGGCCTTGTAGTACTGTTTCTGTAGTGCTGACATGCCATGGTATATGACCACCTCTGTCTTCTTGGGAAGCTCTGTGGCTACCTGAGCCTTCACTCGCCTTAGGAGAAATGGCCGCAAGAGTCTATGTAGCTCATTTGCTGCATAAGAAAAAAAAAATAGTATAGAATCGATAATATTCAACAACCAAAAAGCATAGTCTTAATTCTGAGTTAGGAAAGTGATTTTTCATATTACACATACTCCTGAACTTACAACAGGGTTTATGTCCCTGTAAATTCATTCCAAGTTAAAAATATTGTTAGTTGAAAAATGTGTTTAATATACTTAATCTACCAAACATCATGACTTATTCTGGTCTACCTTTAAAATGCTCTGAACACTTCATTATTCCTCACTAAGGCAAAATAAACCAAATTTACTAAAATAAAATAAATAAATTCAGTGCTGAGAGCCAGCAAGACAGTCGGTGGGTAAAGGTGTGTGCTGTCACATGTGATGAGCAGAACTTGGTCCCTAGAACCTACATGGTAGCAGGAAAAAACAGACCCCCACAAGTTGTCCTCTGACTCCATCTCTCTGCTACACACACCCACACCCACACACACACACACACACACACACGAGTGAGAGAGAGGGAGAGAGAGAGAGAGAGAGAGGGAGGGAGGGAGGGAGGGATAGAATTCAAAAAGCTGAATATTTCATATAATTCACTGGCAGCTCTATTCAAGCAGTTCTGGTAACACGGAGCACTGTGAAGTCTCACTCTCATGGCTGACTGGAAAGCTGGAACCAATTCAGATTGCTACATTGTATAGCAGTGCATTTTTAGCTTTCTGAGGTACCTCAGCACTGTATTATTTACACTAGTTTATATTCACCCCATGCTGGGTAGGGGGATAACGGCCATTCCACTGGGGTGAATGGTACCTCATTGTCGTTTTTATATTTTTATACTTATTTTAATTTTATGAGTATTAGTGTTCTGCTGGCATGTATGTAAAGGTACCATGTGTGTGAAATGCCTACAGAGATCAGACGAGGGTATCAGATTCCCTGGAGCTGAAGTTACAGATGTTGTGAGCTGCCGTGTGGGTGCTAGGAACCCAACCTGGGATCTCTGGAAAAGCAGTCAGAGCTCTTAACCACTGATCACAATTTCTAGTCCTCACTGTGGCTGTGATTTACATTTCCGTAACAACTACTGATACTGAGCACCTAGACATACAGAATAATGCTGTTATATAGCTCAAAGTAGGAAGAAGAAAGCAATTGTAAACCTCTCCAGGTTTCCTTCTTTGACAACTTCATACACATATGCAATGCGCTCTGGTTAAAAAAAAAAAAAAAAAGCATTTGAAAGCATTCTTCACCAAGAAATGGTAAAAGTTCAACCAATGATATGCCAATTACCTGAGCTGACCACTACCCAATGTATGCATAATTAAAAACACTACACTGTACCTCAAAACCCTGTACTAATGCTAGGTGTCAACAGCAGGTCAAAGTTCACACACATTTTCCACTAAATGTGCAACTGCTCTGCAACATAAAAAACCCAAGGAGAGTCTGTCCTTCTTCCTTCTCTGAGTCCCCAGCTCCTTCTCTACCTGTCACTAGCCCTGAACTCAGGAACTGGGAACACCTAAGAACTCTAGTCTTACTAATCATCCTGTTTTCCAGAGGCTCTCTTATTCCCAGGGTGGTTTTGCGTTCATTCTTATTGACCAGCATTAATGTTTAAAAAGGTGGGCAAGTAGCTGCCCCGTTTTAACAGCAGAGTCAGGTGCAGCTCCAAGAGCCAAGCCTCTGATCTAAGCCAGAGAGCCGACGGCCAATGCTGTCAGCATTCAAACTTGGTTCTTTTGACTTTAAATCGTTTGTTCCCTCACTAGGTATCTTGAATGCCAAAAACCATTCCAAATCAGAATTACACTCCATGTTAAGATTGCCAGATACAGAAAATAAAACATGCAGGAAAAGTAACCAGCTTCACTGGAATTTCACATACCAAACAATATTTTAATACGGTATGTGCATGTAATATTTAACTGGATGTCTCACACTTCTCTGGCAACTCTAACCATGGGAGTCACGTGGGGAAAGTCTTTAGCCTATAGTCTGGGGTGTTCTACTGGGAAACACCCCTCCAACTCATACTTACCCAATACATACAAAAGCAAAATTCTGTATAAGCCTCATAGGGGAATATCACAGGGATATTCAGATAATTCTGTGAGACTGAGGGGCAAAGGTACAAGAAAAAGCTGCCACCCACATAAGGATGATGAAGCTGCTCCCCTCCCCTCCCCTCCCACGCACACACACACACACACACACACACACACACACACACACACTTCCACATCCCATCTCTCTTAAACTCTTGGCTTTGGTGCAAGGTTAAAAAGGAACATTAGTGCTGCAGAACACTGAATGACCGTATGCGCCTCTAGTAGGCACCCTCCTACCTCTTCCAAAACTTAACTATGAGTCCCAGAGAGTCGAGCATAGAGTCAGACCACTGAAGACAACGAGGTATCTAGCACCAGCCTTTTGTTTGTGGCTCTTTACCTCCCTGGTCTTCTGGTTGTCTGGGTACCAAGCCCTCCTGGGGATGATAGGAACAGAGAAACCTGCCTGATTTGGACTCTTTCTCAATGTCCTGGTAACGCTGAACAAAATCTTCCACCTGCTCCCTGCAGAAGAGGTCAGGCTCCACGACACTGAGGAGGGAGTAGAGCTCCTGGAGGCTGTTCTGGACGGGAGTTCCGGTGAGCAGGAGACGGAAGACCACTGAGAACTTAAACAACACAAACCAACAAAATTAAAAGTCCCCCACAGCGGGAGGAAAGACTGGGGATTGCCCAACAGAGAGCAGTATGATGTAACGGGAATGACCAACAGCACTGGACACAAGGGGGTTCGGGTGCAGGCTGTGTGTTTTACTTGACGAAGGAAATGACTCTGGTTTCAGCTCTAAGAAGCAGAAAACGGCCCTACAAAGAAGACAGTGCTATAAGGATGCAAGTCACATCGCTTCCTGCACAAGGGTTACAGAGTAGCCACTGTGTTAGGGTTACTCCATCTTGCAGAGTTAAATTACAGGATACATGGGGGAGCATGTGCACACGGAGCTGAAGAAGCAAAAAGCTAACATACCAGGCCCCTCCCCTACAGGTAAGACGCAAGATCAATACTAAAACAGTGCCTTTTGTAAAACTTTATGGATGTTTCTGGACTCTGCCCCAAACAGAAGGGACTTCTTGAAATTTTCAGAAACAAATGAGAGAACCAAAACTAAGAAATTTCCTATCAGTAATTAAATACTAGTAATTAGTAATGAAATTTAAAGGTTAAGACAAAAGGTAACAGTGGAGTATTCCTCCCTTTGGAACACTTCATTTTCTTGGGAGTTCCTTCTCATCTTCCTTAGTTAAGTCTGTTTGCTTTGCTCAAAAAGAGAAAGAAAAATATTAACAAGAGATATGAAATAATCAAGGATGCTCAACCTTCGAACTCATAAAACAAGAACCATCAAAATTAATGTAACAATATGGAAAAGCCATACACCATATATGCATGTTATTTTAAATAAAGAAATACGGTGGGCACTAAGCATATACATACACACACAGTACATATTAGATATACTGAAGTGTTAATGCAGGATTGGCTATGGTGTCTTTCCCTTTTCTTATCTTTCTAGATTTTGGCTGGGAAGGGATCATAAGACACCACTCTGCTTTTGTGGTAAGAAAAAGTGATGTGACACATCAAATTACAACTGATGGCAAACATCCTGGCAATCTCCTTTTGCTCTTTCTAAAATGCTCATTCATTGTCTACCCAGCCAGGCTTGTTCTGCTTGCTGGACGATGTTTCCTAAATATTTCAACTATGTGGACTGAGCACTTCAGTAAAGAGCTGCGGTGGTGGTCAAACAACAGAGGGTCACACAGGTGACCGCCAGTCACAATATTTGGCTTTTCCTAGACACGAGTGAAGTTTGCCATTCAAAGTACTGTCCATTTTGGCATCAAAACTTACATTTGAAAAAAAAAAAAACAGAGACAATCTGTCTTTATAGTACTTTATAAGGTTTGCACATAAAATAGTGCATAAGCACATTCCTTATTAAATATTAAATATTCTTCCACATAGATTTTTATGGCAGCTTTGGTTGTAAAAGCACTGTAAGTATGAAACATAAATCCCAGCACCAACTCTCCATTTTCACATTTTAGGTCACTTCCAACTTTCATAGACAATATTAAGGGGGGAAAAAAAAACAGACAGACAGAATCCCCCCATCCCACCTTTCAGTCCTATAAATAAATGGTTTTGTTTGGTTGTTTGTCTTTTTGCTTTCTTGGGGGGGGGGAACATGTCTCACTGTCCTGGAACTTACTCTGTAGACCAGGCTGGCCTCAAACTCACAGAGATCCACCCACCTCTGCCTCCCAAGTGCTGGGGTTAAAGACCTGTGCCACCGTGTCCCACCTAAATAAATGTATTTTCTGTTCAACCTTCTAGTGATCTGCAATCCAAATCCTCACCTAAAAAGGAATGCTGACAGGTCCCAGAGCAATTCTCTTGCTCCATCCCTCTGAGTCTTAGTTTCCTGATGAATAATATGTGCAGGCTCTGAAGATGGCAACAAAACTCAGTCTCCCCATTTCAAACCCCCAAGTCCAGGGTCCCTTTACAGTACCCGTCTCTTCTCACACTGCACATCGGTAAATTGGCACAGGAGTTTATGAAGCATTCTCTTACAAGGAGAGACACCTAGAATATGACAACTGCTGTGACTCGAATGTGCTCCCTCAAATGTACAGGCACTGCCCACTTGGCAGTATCAGGAGGTGTCCCTCCGAGAGGTAATAATGCCACGGGAGCTCCTTTTGAATGGGATCAAGGGCCTTTTAAAAGAACCAGTGAGCTGGCTTTCACTTCTTTCTCTTGCCCTTCCGCCACATGGCACACTCCCTAAAACCTTGATCTGGCTTTCCAGCCTTCAGAATGGTGATGAATACATGTCTGTTCATTATAACACAGCCTCTGGTATTGCGCTAAAGCAGCACAAATAGACTAAAATACAAACCTTTTGGGAAGGAGACACTGCCAAGAGTCCCTAAAAAGAAGGTGGTGGCACCAGAGAGCAACAGGGAGGATGCCCTATGAGGGGGCAGCAATCTAGAGAATGTATCTTCTCTCAAACTCCCCAAACTGCAACTTGTAGGTCAGTAACTACAGAACTCAGATCAAAGTTCAAGTGGTTTATCATGGGATGGGACCAAACTCAATCACCACAAAAACGAATGTGTAGTCTCATGAATGAACACGCCTTTCAACTAGGAGAAAGATAACACTTTCCATAGGTACCTCAGAGAAAAAAAAGTCATTCCCATGTTTCCAGAACAGTGGAAGAAGCCAAGGGAGGATGAGAACAATGAATCCTATTTTATAACAAAGACCATAGAGGATGAAGGCGATACACAATGGTATGGAGTTGGTCTTCATGTGAGTTATTAAATTCTTTAAACGGGTAAATTGGAGGGAGGCACAATATGCCCAATATCTCTGCTACCACAAACAGAGATTTATGGTGAGGTTGTCTCTGTAAGGAAACCCAAGATGCTCCAAAGAGAGCTGAAATGTTCCCAAACATTATCTTATGAAAGATAGGATGAAAGACATTGCATACTTCCTGGTACCCCGAATGAATGTTCATTTAGCCCAGCAGTAATCCGACTAAAAAAGAAAAGTTTCAATTAAATCTACACTATTCAAGCCTAAACTATTTTAAAAAAATAGTTTTTAAAAAGCTCGATGGTGCAGCCCTCCTCCATTACCCCTGCCGAGTACCAGAATTACCTCACCTGGATAACATTCTTAAAGGGAAGCGTTGAATGAGTAAGCAGGGCTCCAGAGTGCTGTTAGGGCAGTGAAATTACCACTACCATGCATGATACTGCAATGGCGGATAGATGTCATTATCTATTTCTCCCAGCCAAGCAGCATCTACAGTATCAAAAGTAGATCTGTGAGTTACAGATTCTCAGTGACAATGTCAACACCCGCAACAAATTCACGGCTCTGACGGGATGCTGGTAAATGAGGGGAGATATGAATGGAAGCGGAAAGAGGGCATCTCCGTATCTTCTGCTCAATCTTGTTGTAAAACTAAAACCACTCTTTAAAGATTGTCTCTACCAGCAGGCATGGTACCAGAAACATGGTACCAGAAACATGGATTGTTTCTACCAGAAAGCTGAGGCTACCCTGTGAATTTACCTCTGAAAGTGTCCTATGCAGCAGGGAGCTCTGGTTTTTCAATCTGTGAGCTTCGTCCACAGCAAGAACACTCCAAGAGAAGCTGTGAGAGAAAAATCCACTTTCAGCTTTGTGCAACTCATTCACTATGAGGCTACAACTACTGTTAGACAGGCTGACCACAGACACGGCCTCAGAAACATGTCTGAATCACCTCCCCACTGAGACGCAGCCGTGTGAATAGACAACAGCTGCATAAAGGGTTACATCCAAGCCCCCCTGAGGCAGAAAAGGTGGCAGGAAGGAAAGAGCCAAAGCCAGAGAGAAAGGAGAAACATTTGTAACCATGTGTCAGGTACTGAACTTGCAGCTCTGTGTGTTTAGTCCAAAAGAACACGAGGAATAGACAGGATCGGGGCAATAGGGAGATGAAGGCTTTGAAAGGTCAGGTGATTTGGTCAGGCTCAGAAAGCAGAAATGAGAGTCAAACCCATAAGAAATATGAAAGACAGCTGTGCCACAACAGACAAAGAGGCAGGATTTAAATGAGAAGTGCTCAACGGGACCAGGCCCAGTGTCTCCTGCTTTGTTGACACCGAGGTCTTCAGTGGCCACTCAGAGGTGATTTGCTGCACGGTAGCTAGCAAGAGCAACTGATGGGTAACTTTCGGTCATAGAGCACATACATATATGCTCATGCATGCATTTTTTTTAAAAGATTTGATTTATTTATTATGTATACAACATTCTGCTTCCATGTATATCTGCACACCAGAAGAGGGCACCAGATCTCATAAAGGATGGTTGTGAGCCACCATGTGGTTGCTGGGAATTGAACTCAGGACCTCTGGAAGAGCAGTCAGTGCTCTTAACCTCTGAGCCATCTCTCCAGCCCTCATGTGTCATACTATGCAGCTCAAACAGGCCTCACATTTGTGATCCTCCTGCCTCAGCCTCCCAGGCCAAGTGCTGGCCAGGCTCACAGGTATAGACCACTACTACACTTTGGCTATAGAAGCACATTTTTTAAGGAGTATTTTTGGGAAACTGTTGGAATCCACCCCCAAATATGGTAAATATATATGTGTGAACATGCTCTAGGATTATTACTTTAAGCAGGAAAAAACTGAAATTAACTTAAATATCTAATAATATGCAATAAGATATATGGCTATATAAAAAGGCATATATGGTCACCGTAATACAAATGATGGCTGGGTGTGGTGGAACACAACTGAAATCTTAGCACTCAGGAGGCAGAGGTAGAAGGACATCACAACTTTTAGGCCAGCCTTAGCTACACAGCAAGGCCAGCCAGGGCTACATGCAAAACACTGTCTCAAAATAAATAAAAACCAAACAAGCAAAACATAAATATTGTATGTTCTTGAAAATTGCAAAAAAAAATCAAATATAAGGTAAAATGAAGAACATATTAAGACTGTTAGTTCTGCTAGTGAGCATTATGGAATATTGCATTATATTTTAATTTCTTACATTAATTTATTGGGGGGGGCACAAGTGTGCCACAGTCTGTGTGGTCAGAGGACTTGCAGGAGTCAATTCTTTTCTTTCCCAGGTAGGTTCTGGGATAGAACTCAGATGCTCAGGTTTGGTCTACATTAGGATGATTCTATCTCAGACAGACAGACAGACAAACCATGGGGTGAAAAAGACATCCCTCAGAACTTAGAGAAAGACCTTATGCAGAGGCTGACCTATGAAAAGGAAGTCTTCTCCTGGAGGTACAAAAGGAGGAGGAAGAGGAGGACAGCTATGCGAGCGAATGGGGAGCACAGGGGCCTGCAGACAGAGGGAGGACTAGGGGCCAAAAGATCACAAGGAGTTCAGGAGACCAGGAGCAGGGTGCACTTAAGATTGGTAAGGTTAAAGGTCTCCACAGTTGGACAGTGGTCATGAGAGAAGGTATACCACTGCCCAGAGTACGGTGCCACCACAAACAGGTGGCTGGTTCCCTGAAGGTGGCACATTTTTATACACGCAAATACCCAAAAGTCCTTATTAAATGAAACAAGGCTGCAAGAAGGTGAATGTGGACACACTAAAAGAAAATGAGTCAGAGGATGCTCTTAAGAGGCCACCGGAGAGACTCTGTAAATCTGTAACCCACAGATTCCGAGCTGTTTCTACTGCTGGCGAGCATAGTCTTAAATGTCTATAATGTATCTCTTTAGTACAGACGTACATTCCCCTGCCATTTTCAGTATGTACAACACAGCGATGGGAAATACAATCTTAGCTAACATTGAAAGAAAACATCTATGTTGTGGGATTCACACTATGAGTCAGCATTATAAATGTCCGCTGGTTACTTAGGTTTTTAAATCCTCCTTCCAGTGTGCTTAGAACAGATTACCTCAGATAGAAAGACCGTGTTTCTCCTGAGAAAGGCGGCACTCTGGTACAGCTACACACTTACAGAGAGGCTTGCTAGTACTGAGTGCTGACTTTGAAGGCCTGCTTTGCTATTTATTGACATTAGCTATAGTAAATAGCTAATCTTGGTTGTCAACTTGACACATCCAAGAAGAGGGAACCTTGACTGCGGTATCACCTCTGTCAGATTGGACTGTGGCCAGAGTCTGTGAGGCATTTTTGTAACTGCTAATTGATACAGGAGGGCCCAGCCTACTGTGGACAGTGCCATCCCTAGGCCTGCTGTATAAGAAAAACTGGCTGAGGACGGCAGGAAGAGCCAGTGAGCAGAGTTACACAATGATATCTGCTTTAAGCTCCTGCCATGGTTTCCCTCTGCGATGAATTGTAAGCTGTAATATGAAATAAACCCTTTCCTCCCCAGGTTGCCTTTGGATACGTGTTTATTACAGCAACAGAAACCAAAGTAGGACAGGGGCCTCTGAGCTTCATCTTCTTCATCTGTAAAGCAGGGGACACATGCCCTGGAGGGGCTTTTTGAATTCTTAAAATTGTTGTGTGTGCACCTGTGGAGGTCAGAGGTCAAAGTTTAGGGGTGGGTCTTTCCTTCCACCATGGGTTCTGGGGACTGAACTCAGGTCGTCAGGCTTGCCTGGTAAGTGCTTTCACATCTGGCTGGCCTGGTTTTTATGATTTTTAAATGGTATAATTTATAAAAAATACTCAACATGTATGCCCTAGTCTGCTATCCTTTAAGATTTCATATTTATCGCCTGGTTTCTAGGTATCCATATATGTCTTCTTTTGTTTAATTACATGCACGTGCACATGAGTACAAGGTGCCTGCAGAGACCGGGAGCATCGGATTCCCCTGCGGCTGGAGTTAGAGTCACACGTGGTTGTGAGCCAGTGACGTGAGTGCTGAAAGGGCAGCAAACCCTCTAACCACTGAGCTACCTCTTCTGTCTCTTGGTCCATTTCTCATTCCCTTCCCGGACTTGGTCTTTGTAGGTCTGCTCTGGAACCAACCAACACATTGATTCGGTGAGGGAGCTGACTCAGCAGGTAAAAGCACTTGGTGTGCAAGCCTGGTAGCCTGAGTTTGATCCCTGCAAAGCATGTAAGAAGCCAATAACAGTAGAGCATCTGTGGTCCCAGCACCCCTACGGCTAAACGGGCCATAGAGAGACAAGAATTAGACAGCTGAGGGCCAGCTAGTCTGGAGTATGCTACACAGTGCCAGGAAAAAGAGAATAAATGAAACAGTGGGAGATAGAGAATTAACTTGCACGCACACACACACACACACACACACACACACACACACACACACACACACACACAGGGCAGACAAATAGACAGACAGGCCACTTTTAAAAAAGAGAAAGGCTAGGACACTTGCCTGGCATATGCAAATCCCTGGTTTTAATCTCTAGTACCCTTACCAAATAAAATTGCATTAAAACAGGCAGAAAGGAAAAGAGAGGAAAGCATATTCCTCTCATGGAAATGATAATATGCTCACTTAAATGAAATAAAACACTAATCAGAAGCCTGAGCCATCAATACTTCAAGATTAAACAAAGACAGGAGCGGGATAGACTACCACAGTATGAATGTAACACATGACTGTATGGTTCATGCAGCAGTTCCTGGGGCCATACAACCTACTCACGATTTTAGAAACGAGGCATCTTTCAAGCAAATCTGAAAAAGTAAGGAAGACAAGTTAAAAAGGTTAGTGCCAGGAAACGCCAGTGCCAACAAGCTGCTTCCTGTCTCAGTTACTCTCTCCGATCACAGCAGTCCAGTCCTGCCTTACCCTCACTGAGTAAGGCACAAAGCTCTAAGCATCCTTCCTAAGTCCAAACAAAAGGGGAGTCTGGCTAAGAGGAAGGTCTAGCTCACAGGGTCCAAGTCTTTATCTAACAAGAACTTAACAGGAGAGTGTAGCTAAGTGTCATGGCTAGTTTTATTTCACACAAGTCAGTCATTTGGAAGGAGAGAACCTTAGTAGAGAAACTGCCCCTCCCCAGATTGACCTGGGGGCAAGTCTGTGGGCATTCCCATGATTGATGATTAATATGTTGTGGGGGAGGCTAGTTCACTATGGGCTGGTGGTCCTGGGTTCTGTAAGAAAGCAGGCTGAGCAAGCCACAAGAAGCAAGCCAGTGAGAAGCATTCTTCCATGGTCTCTGCATCAGGTCCTGCCTTGAGTTCCCATCCTGACTTCCCTCAGCCATGAATTGTTACCCAGAAGGGTAAGCTGAAATAAACCCTTTCCTCCCCATGTTGCTTTGGTCATGGTGTTTATCACAGAAATAGAAACAAACCCTAACGAAGACACTAGGTGACCTCCATTCCTGTGCTCCAGTTACCACACAGGAGCCCCTTTCCCTCACCACTTCTGTTCATCCATCAAGAGGCAGCTCAAGTGCCACGCCCCATGAAGCAGCAGGAATGAGAGGGAAGGAAACTAACCAACGTGAAGTCCCATGATCCTTTACTTCGATGGTCACAAAGCCTCTTTGAGAATGTGATGAAGTGTCACTTCCCTCCCTCCAGACCCCCAAAGGACACTCCGTTTAAATAGAATTGTAGTGGCCTTAACAACTTCTTCGGCCCAGGTCAGGAGTTCTTGCTGGAGAAGTATATGTTACCTCGTAGGTAGTCAGCAGCACGTGGAAATGAGGCTCCTGTTGTAGGCCTTGCTGAAGGTGGGCTCTTTCCTCCTTGCCACCTACATATGTCACACAGGAAAGACCTGGAGCAAATCTGGGGCAGAGAAAAGAGATGAACAGAGCAAATGTTAGAGCCACAGAACATTGCAGGTTACCTGGAAAACCACACTTCATGAGAGTGCTATGTGTAGCCCCTGGGAGGCCATCAGAAAGAGTCCTGGGAACTCCAAATCAGGCCTAGGGTCACAGCCAAGCCTCAGGTAAGGCCTTGATGTAAACGCTTACCCATTAGTGTCATGTCTAAAGGACTTTGAAACAGAAACTTTTCCCACAAGAGTCACTTCCTTACATCCATATGAGAAGGATGGCTTTCCTTCAGTCTATTAAACGTCACTAAAAATGAGTACTGACCTTTAAATTGTCAAACAGTAGTCATAACACCTGGACCCTCCTGTGCTGGATGCCCAGTGTCTACCCACCTTGCTTCATTTCAGGCCTTTCTAGAATAGACTCATTAATTGTTTAAGACACTACTAATTTATCATATTTTCTACACCAGCCAGAGTATCTTAACCAATGCAAAGAGTAAAATTTCATTGAATTTACTCTGTACTCGGTACCTCTCCAACTCTTCTTTCCAATTGCTCAAAACAGACAAGGGACAAAGAATCAGAAATGGCCCTTCGTCGTTCAGTCTTCCCACCAAGTAAACGAGGAGAGCGATAGTCTGCAACACAGAAAAGGATGTCAGTTCTGATCCCATTTCCTCATGAAAAATAACCACAAAGTCCTCCCAGCCACCAGAACACACACACACACACACACACACACACACACACACACACACACACACCTCTATGAGCAACTTGATTTACAAAGAAATTATGTATGATCGTTTCTGTGTCAGGGAGTACACCTTTCCTGGAGGGAATCAAGGAAGCCTCAGTAAACTTGCCAAAGGGATTTAAGGCATTCAGTTACTTAAGTAGGTACCAAGCCGTGAGGATTTATGTAACTGAACCTCTAATGCAAAGAAAAAAGCCAGGAAAGAATAGAAATCAAAGACAACAAGGCACCTGATGGGCGAGGTCAGCTCAGCAATGCTCTGAAATAAAACACCAGCTGTGCCAAGACATGACCATAAGAATGGCCCACACATGGTGGCTGCCTGTGCTTGCTGGGCTCACCCAACGAGGATAGGTCCTCCTTCCTAAACCCGTCCCCTCTTTCCCTACAGCTTTCTTCCCTCCTACACCTACTGAGAGTCTGTTCATTTGGCTGATCAGTCTCTGATCCCAGTTATATAACAGACGTGATACCTTGCTTTCCTGGAGCAAATACTGTAATAGGGATATCCCAATAAATTACCTTCATAGGTGGAAGAAAGGGTATAAAATGAAAACCTTTGTAAAGCTCAAAGGCTTCCTTCAGGACACTCCTGTATAACTTCTGAAAGATGCTACACTGAATAGGAAAAATAAAGACATGAGGAGATGCTGTGCCCAAAAGCTGAGGTATTTCTTTGGGGGGGGGGGGAGCGGTACACTGTAAACATAAATCAAAACCTTGAGAAAGCTGCATGCTAAAGATTTTATCAAGATTAATTTATACAGCACAATAAGGATCCCTCATTCCTTACCTATAAAACGTTTAAGTAAATTAGGATATTTGCAAAACATAAAATGCAAAACTACAATGGCAATATCAGACTGACAAAATTCAAACTGTAAGAGCTACATGTGCACTACTGTTCAAGACTATGGTTGGAATGCTGTGATGAGAAACGACTGGTTTTTAAAATATATTAGTTTTATAACAGAAATAACGTCCTTTTAAAATTATTTATGTGACTGGACCTCTCAGTGCAAGCTGCACAGAGCAAGCTTCTCAGAGTGACTCAGCTGCATCTAAGCAGTTCTCTTTAGCTGCCTGCAAGACGCCACTTGAGAATGTGTCTATCTATCACCATCCACCAGAGAGGGCAACAAAACAAGTCTGTAGGCCCAGGTGGGTTCTGGGAAACATTAAATGAAGAAAGAACATTAATTCTACATAAACTCTTCCAGAAAACTGAACACACCTAGACTCATTCTATGAGGCTGGCACAACCCAGTGTGAACACCAGACATTTTATAAGAGCCCATCAGACCAATATAACCTTCATGATATAAATGCATAAATGATGGAAGCTGTTATTCTGTATATGTTTCTCTTATTTGTTGATGAGTAAAATGCTGTTGGCCAATAGGGCAGCAAGATAGGCAGGTCTAAGAGATGAGGAGAATTCTGGGAAATGTAGTCCAGTCTCACATCTGTAAGAGGTCCAGACCCTTCTCTGGTAAGATAAGACCACATGGAAATACATAGGTTAGCAGAAATGGGTTAATAATTAAGACAGAGCTAGCCAAATAAGAAGCCCTAGTCATCGGCTAACAGTTTCATAATCAATATAAGTCTCCGTGTGCTTATTTGGGGCTGAAGCGGTTGTGGGACCAGGCTGGCAGGGCGGAAACTTTCATTCAACAAACCTCACATTATGCATAAATTCTAAATAAACTTTTACCAAACCAGATTTGGAGGTGGCATATTTGGGGGAAGTGACAAGGAGAATTTGTGCTGAATGAGGCCCACAGGACAGAGCCAATGACTAAAACAAAAGCGACACATGGAGGGTCCTTCAGTGATTCAAGAATCTGTTAAGTTTGGGTAATAAGGCAGCCAGCTAGGGTACCCTCTCCAGAGGTCATGCTGCTCTGTGAGCATCTCCTAGACTGATGAGCAAGGTGTGCCTGAGGTGGTCTCCAACCTAAGACCGGGCTAGCCTATGCACAGCTTCAGACTGAGGTTTGTATAAACATCATGAGTCTTAGAAGGGGTTGGTTAGCTTCTAACAGGATTAATAAGAACCCTGGCTGTTCCTTATGGTCACGTGTGAACCCTCTCTGGATTGGGAAATGCCTATCACCATGGTTTTTAATCGGCTTTCCTTTGCTGTGTATACTGACTACACTGACTTTAATATTCTATAGATGAGGAAACCTATGTGATTAACCATATGGTATGATGCAACTGGACTCTCTATCAACCCAAACCCACAAACGACATGTCAACCCAAGGCTGATCATCCTGACAGACATGTCAATATCAATACTCCACCTGCCTAACGGTGCCTACCACATCTGACTCTCCAGGTCAAGGCCATCAGTTGGCTAAGTGAATTTGGAAACCACAGGGAACTATATTCACCCTATGCTATCCCAAGAGAGACCCAGAAAGCAGGTACCACATAAAATACCGCTAAGGAAGTTAAAGCCAACTTGATGCTAGGGCAGGAAATTTCTCTTCTATAGAGAAAAGCCCTGGACCAGGCCAATTTTAAATGTCCTCCTAATTGAGGCATGCCTTATCCCAGACACATGTTTAAAAAATAAAATAAAACAACAAAACAGGTCAAACAAGGGTAGTGGCACAATTTTTGAAGCCCAAACTAGAAAAAGCAACTCCAAGATCACAATCTCTTATCATGTTACTTTACGTATTCCACACCCGGTAAGAAACCCACACTGCTGCAATGAGGGGGCAAAGATGACCATGAATCGTGTGGAGGTCAACTGTGCTCACTCCACGGGGGCGTACCTGGCAGGTCTTCCCCAGGCCCATCTCATCTCCCAGGATACAGCCATTTTGGCAATGGAAGCACTGGGCTAGCCAATTGACTCCCTCCAGCTGATAAGAGCGTAGACGAATCCCTAGAAATAGAAAACAGAATAGGTCCAAAGAGCCGAAATTTCAGCAGGTTTCGGGTTCTAAGACGGCCTCATCTCCCACACACCAAACCTGACCTGTGGTAGCACTGGCTCACTTCCCACTGGCTACTTTTTATGCAGACCAGGTCACCATCTATCATTTATTCAAACTCCAAAAGCACGCTGCCATTGTCAGCCACCTAACCCCCTGACAGAAGTCTTCTAAGGTTTTGACCTCTGCTGCCTGAGTCTCCACTACTCATTCCCAGAAATGAACATTACCAAAGCTGCTCATCAACAAACAGCACACAGACTGTGCGTGCCAAGGAAAGACATAGACAGGATTACTTCACACCATGCTTCAACATGAAACAGTGCTCCTTCAGAAAGAGTAGCCACAGTGTCTGGATGTGGAAAGTCTTCCGTGGTACCCAGCAAGAGATACTTATGTTTGGGTAGTGTTAGGTCTCAAACCTGGGACCAAGGGCTGAGGTGCCCATTTAACATATCAAAGCAGACCCTGGTGCCAGGTTCTACCTGCAAGCCTCAGTCCCTACCCATCACATGGCCCTCCTGGCTGGCATGCCACACCCCCTACCCTAAATTTCTCCAGCTGCCCTTTCCTCAGCCACCCTTTCCTATATAATTCAGCCATTTTGGTTATCTGGGTGCTTCATCTACTCTCGTGGCCTCTCTCTTGGCCAGGCTGCCCCTCTTGGTCAGCAGCCACTCTCCCCTCCCCGTTAATCCCAAGACAGGAGGAGGAAGACCACTGCTCCAAACCATCATGGCCAAATTAGTTAAGACGAGCAATGAATTAAAACAAACTTTTTTATTCCTTTACGTGGGCTGCCTCCCCCATAAGGTGTGTTTGAGAGGTCAGCATTGGTTATGAGGAAGACACGGTTTTTATAGTTCAGCCGTAGGGAGTCTCCAAATGGGGGGGTTGATGGGCAAAGTAGGTGAGTTACAGGAGCAGAACATAAACATAACAAATTAGTCCCTCCTGAAACAAAGACATGGTTGCAAGGTGGGCATAATAAGGTAGTCATCGCAACAGATAGTTATATAACCTTTTGGGAAAAAAGGTGGGGCTGCAAGATGCTTATAAACAACTTTCTGAAACAAAGACATGGTTGCCATTCCTAGAACAGGCAGTGCAGAACCATTTATAGTTAAGGTTGCAGGTAAGGTGGAGCCCAGTACTTGAGAAACGGGAGTTTAATCATAAGCAGAAAGGAACCTAGTTTGTCTTTACGAAGACAGAGGCAAGCTGGCTCTTCACCCCCTCTCCTCACATGGCTCAGGGTCATGACCACTCTGGACTCTCCTGTGCTCTCCCTGTTACCTACAATAAACCTTCCCCTCCACCATACCCAGGAGCAGTCGTTCTTTCTTTCTTTCTTTCTTTCTTTCTTTCTTTCTTTCTTTCTTTCTTTCTTTCTTTCTTTTTTTCTCCCATTCAGGTAGGTTGTGGAAGCTTGAGGGGGTGTGGCCTAGCTAGAGGAAGTGGAGGAGGTGGAGGAGGGCACTAGGAAGCAGACCAGGAGGGTTATAGCCTGGTTCCACCTTTGACCCAAGCTCACCTGTGACGCATACTAAGTGCTGCCTGGAATCTCCTACTGCCATCTCTGGGACCTGCTCAGACTACCACGCTTCCCACAATGAACTTTATATCCATATCATAGGTCAGAGTAAGTCCTTCCTTCCGCCCTTAAATTATTTTTATCAGATATTTTGTCACAGAGATAAGAAAAGCATCTAACGTTGAAAATTGATACCAAGAAATGAGGTCACTGCTATGCCAATCTGGGCATGCTGTTTGTAGAACTGGTTTGCAGGAGGGAGGTTAAGAGCTGTGGTCTAGAGAGCCCGAGTATAGTGTAAGCTGGATGCTGCTGTGCGTCCAGAAGACAGAAGGAATCCAGGGGTGCAGTTCAGGATATGGATGTGCCAGGGGGACAAGACTCTACCTGGTGCATGCTTGGAAATCAACCCAGCTCTGTTCTGTCAAGGTCCTGAGGCCAAACTCAAAAGTGAAGGATTAAAGTTTTCAACAGGGAATTTCAAGACAGCCCAGCATTTAAGCTGTGGCATGGACTCTGCTTGCTGATTTCAGTCAGCGTTACAATAAGAATCTAGAGATAAAAAGAGTTGCAGGAACATGGAAAATGTACACTTTGGCAAAAAAGGGTGCATGAGCAAATTAAAGTTTAGATAAGACAGAAAAAGGCAACCCTGTGGAAGCCTCTGGGGTATAAAGCTAAAAGCCTGTTTGAAAAACTTTCATTTTGAGACTATTTTCCCTGCAGATCATTAGGAGACTTTAAAACTTTCAAACAGGAGAAGGCATCATAACTTTTAACATGTAAAGTGCTTTGGACTGTACTGTCAACTTGAAAAGACACAGAACTACCTTGGGGCTACTAAGGAAAAGGTAAAGCCTGTGAGGGATTTTCTAGATTAACTTAATTGGGATGGGAGGACCCACCCTAGCTGTCAGACCAAATAAAAAGGGGAAACACTTGAACACTAGCAATGATGCAGAAGAAGAAGAAGCCAAGAGATGCAAAGATGCTGGCTCTACGCGTGAACAAAGGCATTCCCCAAAAACCAGGGTCAGCCTCAGGATGCTAGAAAGAACAAGAAAATGTGTTTCCCAGAGCACCTCCCAATAGGACCACAGGCCCACTGACACCCAACAGTACCAATGCATTCTCCTCAGTGCTGCAGAACACATATACCAAACTGAAGGTCATCAGATGAGCCTCAGAAGATGTAGAGGGGCTGATCACAGTGCAGGCTAGTTGGAACCTGCTGATAGAAATGTGAGAAGGAAGCTTCCGAGCTCCTGGAAACTAAACAACATACTTACAAATCTTCTAAATTATCCACTGCATCAGTCTCAAGGGAGAGAACTACACTAATCTGAACGAAAACAGAAATCTAGCAATTTCTTATGGAACAAAAATTAAGTCAGGGGAGGGGACAACAAAAGTGTTTAGGATCTATAAAGAGACATCACAAATTCTGTTATTTTCATGTTGTGCTTATGTGTACATGTATGTGTTTATGTATGTGTGAATTCGAGCACATGAATGGTAGAATACTTAAAGGAGTCAAAGGATAACTCTTAGGGCCAGTTTTCTTATCACCTGTGGTATCCAGGAACTGAACTTGGGTCTGTGCATGCAAGCACCTTTACCCGCTGAGCCATCTTGCTGGCCCAAATTCTTAACATTTTGACACCAGAAACAAGCAAGCAAAAAAACTATAGTAAGATAAATCTGGTAAATCTGAGCAAAATAATTGTCTTGCAAATCCATATATCTGAAAGAAAATCCCATTATCTGGACTATAAAAAGAACTCAAATGTCAAGTGAAAAAAAAATAACCAAGTTAAAAACTGGGCAAAATATGCTGGGCAGTTGTGGCCACATGCCTTTAATCCCAGCAGTCAGGAGACAGAGACAGGTGGACCTCTGTGAGTTTGAGGCTAGCCTGCTCTACAAAGCAAGTTCCAGGACAGCCAGACCTGTTACATAGAGAAACCCTGTCTTAAAAAAACAAAAACAAAAACAAAAACAGAAGAGGGGGAGGCGGGGGCAGGGCAAAGAGACAAAGCAATAGGGACATTCATGTTTAAACCACTACAGATGTCACCACCACTATTAGAATGGAGGGGGAGTTATGCAAACATTGGCACAGATGCTTTCTTTAAACACGCAACCAGCCCATGCCCCAGGTGCAGTGCTCCCCAGTGTTTGTCACAGGGAAATAAGACTTATCTTGACATCAAACCAGCATACAAATGTTTTCAACCCTAGAGGCAGGAGGGTAAAAGTGAAAAAAACTAGAAACATTCAAATCAATTTCCGTGTATAGATGGTAAACAGCCTGTGGGAAAACCATGCTTCTCACCAAGAAGAAGAACCAAACACAATAGTGGGAAAAGTCAACCTCCTGAGATTACACACCATGTGACAGAAGTTGTGTATGTCACTTCTCCAAGTGACAAAATTACAGAAACAGAGAAGACTGGACTAGGAGGTAGTTCAGTGCCAGGGTGCTTTGCCCACATCAGCAAAACCACAGGTTCAATCTCCAGCACTGGGGGAAGAAGAGGGCAGGAGGGAGGGAGGGAAGGGAGGGGAGGAGAGGGGAGGGGAGAGAGGGAGGGCACAACTGGAAAAGGAATGGGAAGGCAGAAGACAGTGGTTGCAAAGGATCAAGAGAACGGTGGTAAGGAAACAAGTATAGCTATCAACAGGCAACCAGAGGTGCTTATGGTAGAGGGAATGTTCTGGATCTTGACTGTGTAGACAGATGTCAACTCCTAACTAACATCTTATTTTGCAAGCTGGTATCACTGGGGAAAACTGGATGGAGTCCACAGGAGAGCTCTCTGTATTGTTTCCTGCTACTGCATGTGACTGATTCTGTGTCTGCCGTAATAAAAAAGCTTAATTTTCTTATTTAAAAAAAAGATTTGATTTTAATTATGTGTGTATGTGTGTGGCTGTGTCTGGGTATGCACCCATGAGTGCAGATGCCCATAAAAGCCAGACGAGGGTATCAGCCCCACGGAGTCAGAATAATAGGCAGCTGCTGCGCTGTCTGTGCTTGGAGAACTTGGTCCTCTGCAAGAGTAGTACATGCTCCAGGCTGTCTCTCCGGGCCCTAAAAGTTTAATTTTTTAAAAATGATATAAAATTATCTACACACAGATAACAGCATTAACATTCAAGAGTCAAATACAAAGACAGAAATTATCCTAAGTAGTTTAGACAGAAATGGGTTTAATACAGAGAATTAGGTCTCCATAAAATTATTACAAGAATGGAGGAGTGGCCTTATGGTTAGCATCTGGGTAGAATGCTGTACCAGTACCACAGAACTGGCCTACCATCAACATGTCTACCTACATGAACAGGAAGCCAGAAAAACAAAAACAAAAACAAAAACCAGGCCACTGCACCAGCAGCTCCCAAAACCTACCCCTC